CTGCGCGTGCCATCCCGGTGCTAATTGCCTACCTTTAACGAAACCCTATATTGATTCTGGATGTGGTTAAGAGAAGGGACGTCATTGGTTTAACAATCTGCCTAGCTAAAAAATTTATAGCGATAAACCGATAAAAACCGTATTGAGTAAGGATATTGGACAGAAATTTTGGGGGCAGTCTGGGGATTTCCCCCCCAGTTTAGGCAAAGTGAGACAATAATTTTGCTTTTAAAGTAACTCTGATGAAAAGTAAGTATTTTGCACTGCCTGGCAAGAACAACCTATATTGATGGGTAATAATATATCTGAAATACTTTTTGTAGTATTCCCTGGAGCAAAACACATCTGTCCCCAGGCGAACTGATCCCCCTTCGGTAGTAGCTTAAATTGGCAGCTGACAATTCTTAGTCATGTGATATAGATTAGAAATATCCAGCTTCAGCCCTGTTTCCAATTGAGGTAAGGAGAATATTCGGCAAAAGAAAAATTATTGATAAGGTCAGAGGGGTAAGTTGAAGTGTATTTGAACATCACTTTCATATTATATAAATTGAGTGATATTTGAGGTCCACAAAGGCTGCTGCGATACAATTGGGATGGGGGGATAGGACCTTTTGCCCTGAGACTGAGGGTCCTATCAACGAGGGGATTGTTAGTCCGTAGTCTGTTTTTGACATATATGTATGAAAGCCAACCATTTTTCCGGCATTAATTACCTTGGGTATAATAGTTAGTTGATGGTCCCTTCTTGAGAAATTTTAAACGTGTTGGAGTAATATGGAATTTTTTTAAGGACCTAATCTATTAGCCAGTAATACTGTAGGGAAAGATCTCGTTTATGTTGAGATTCTAAGCCTAGCGATCTTGGAAAGCAGTTCTTGACATGAACCTTTTGTCTACGATTTTTTTCTCCCTAGAGGCTCATCTGTAGTAACACGCCCGGCAGGAAAGGCTTTAATCTGTCACACCAAATAATTAAGAGACATCTGTATCATGCAAGAGGCATTGATATGTGCAATACTCCTGCAAAGATTTAGAAATGTATAGTGCGAGTATGGGGTTAGTGAACATAGAGGTGTCATTGCGCCACAGTGGAATACCGGTGAAAATCGCAATGACTCCTCAATACTAATAGAGATAGGAGTGTGATCTGACCATGTCCATGGGATGAATTGCTGCTTTAGTAACATGTTGTAGAAGGTGTATATCGTTTTAAAAAATAATCAATCCTAGAGTAAGACCCATGCAGAGCTGAGTAATATGTGAAATCTTTCCCAGAGTCATGGAGACATCTCCAAGGATCATAAAGATTTGATTCCTGTATTGTTGGCACCATAGAATAACCCTTACTCCACGGGACTGGCCCAAGACATCCAAGAATTTGTGGATAACTGCATTAAAATCACCGAGCAGTAGAGTAAGAAACCTTCTGGATTTTCATGACTTTCTTCTTCAGGGAGTTGAAAAAGAAATTTGGTTGACATTAGGGGCATATAAATTCACTATCGTGTAGAGAACATTATTTAATGCCACACACACCATTATTAAGTAATCTTCCCTTCCAATCACACTTCAGGGAGTGGAGGGAAATGTTACAGAGCCTCTAATGGCTATTAAAACCCCACATTTTTTTCACAGGGACATTAGCCGTGAACACCTGTTGGTATAGGTGTGGGTGGGAGCATCGCGGAGGTTTGTTAGTGGAAAAATGCATCTCTTGCACACAAACAATATCCCCATGGAAATTTCTGTGCCTCTTAATTTTCACATAATGCTACGTTTGTAAGGGTTATTGAGGACTGTGCTCATTCTTAGATACAATATTCAGCACCATACTAAAAGTATATAACAGATAATGCATGCTCACCATCTAGTGGTTTAAGAGAAAAACAGCAGTGGCCCTTTATAGCTAACCTGCTTGAAGCCACTCACTTCACTCAGCATTTTTTGAGTTGGAATACAGGGGCGGACTGACAACTCATGGGGCCCCTGGGCAATAGGGGATAATGGGGCCCCTGTGTCCTTGCCCAAACTCAAAAAAAGCCTATGGAAAAAGGTACCAGGGGCATCTCATGGGGCCCCCTACTGATCCCCAGGCCCTCGGCAGTGCCCAAGTTTCCAAAAATGGTCAGTCCGCCCCTGGTTGGATACATAGGCAAACCTGAAATCAGAATCATTGCAGTGGCCCTGTAGTGATTCCTGGGTTAAAGCAGTTGCCGACACTCTGTTGGAAAAACTTAGAAAGAGAAACAGAAGAAACAAAACATAAACAGTATAAAAAAATAGCAAATAAACTTTGACATATTGGGGGGAACCGCGAGCAATAACGCCCAAAGCATTTTTACGTGGTGCTGGGGCAGGGAAGACGCCCTCTCAAGGCACTATCAAAGCATGGGAGTACATAAGGCTAACCAGCTACTTTGTCCCATTCCGAAGGGACTTTCTTAGGGGAAGATTTGGTGGCTGGTGGACTCCTCTCCTGGGGTACGATTCCCTACTGCTTCGCAAGTCGGAAACCCTCCTCCTCCGAGCTGACAGTCAGTAAACAATTGTCCCGTGTTATCATAATTTCATGGGGAAAACCCATTGATATTTATATTATTATTACGGAGTAACTTCGTAAAAGGAGATTAACTTTTTATGACAATGATGGTATATTGCGAGAGATCCGCAAATAGGGATATTCCATTGTTATGGTGTTCGGCAGTGGATTGTGTGTTCTAGCGAAGATCATCAATTCCTTCTTTATATGGTAGAAGTGGATTCTAGCGATAATGTCCCTAGGAACATGATTGGGAAGAAAGGAAGGCTTCGGCAGCCTATGCGCTCTATCCACTATCACATCTCCCTCTGACGCATGTGGTAAACAAGGCACTGATCATCTGTTGGATACACCGTCTAAGATCTGCAGCAGGGACAGTTTCGCTCACCCCCCCTAATTTGTGCCCCCAGAGTGTTGCTCAACCATGTCACAGTGGGGGCATGCCGTCGTTCTGCCTGCAGGATAAATTGCAGCCACTAATGAGTATTTAGTATACTTCTATGGATAAATTTCAATTGTATAAAGCAATCTCTGGCAGAGATCATAATAGGGAAAAATATTGCAAAAGGCAGACCTCCCAGTCAACTTCCATCAGGGACAAGATGATCCACGTACCATTTACTATAGAGTGTACTCCATTCTAAGGGTAGTCAGAGGTGACAGCAAAGAATGGATAAAAGACAAAGGTTTAGACAGGTCTTCCTCCATCAACAAACTTTCCAAGGGGTCAGTTTGTATGGTAGGCATGATGACAATTGAGCAGCAATTGCATGGCGCAATTGTAGAAAACATGAAAAATATTCAGTTAGGCAAGCCGTAAGCATGTTTGAGCTTGTCAAAGGAGAAAAAGACACCTCAAGGCATGAAATGTCGCAGTAATCTTAATGCCATACTGACTGGCCCATGTAGCAGGATCCAGCACCATGAGCAGATGAGGAAGTGTAGGGTTGCCCCCAGAGTGGGGTGTAAGGGGAGTAGCTCGTATTTATGCAATTTTTAAGCCCTGGCCTGCCTCCTTACTGTCGGGGTCATCTTCATAGGGGTAGTGATTGGCCAGGTTAGATTTCGGGCCCTTATATACAAGGGTACTGAGCTCTGCATAAGAAAGCAGAATAGCTGCTTTCCAGGATCACCGCCGTGTTGTCCCTAGGCTGGGAGAACCACCAGCGCACCATAACTATGACAGCCGCCCAGCAAGTACAATAGGAGCTTAGGCAGCACCAGGCCACCACGATTGATTGTAGATGGAAGGTAGATTGGGATAGTCTGGGAGTTCCCCCACCCAGAGAAACACTGAGACAATACCATCTACACAATGGAAAAAGGAGTGTGGAATTTGTATAAAAGTTTGGCGAAAAAAATAGAAAAACTTAGGTAAAAAAAAAATGTAAAAAAGATTTACTTGGTTTAATGGTGCTAATAGGTAGAGAAGACCAGACACTGCATAGTCTGAAGAGAATTGGTGGTCCATTTACCCGATATGGATTAACATTGATTAAGACATCAACGGTTTTTATTGCTAAAAGTTGGGTGTTCATTTTATTATCTTTTTAATTATGGATGGATGAAAATGTATTTTTACTGTATTTCTATTATGTAGGTTACTTTTAAATTTTTTTTAAATTTTTTGTTACATGTGTGACAAACAGCCCTTGTCAATTGTGGATGGAGTGTATCTGCCACATTTTGCGGTTCATAAGGTTAATGAGTAGCAGTGAGAGGTTTGGAGCAGGATGCAGGGTGTTAAGCATTAGCCAAACCTTACTCCCCACCTGGGGTATAATTTTGTCTTTTCCTGAGCTAATCAGTTGTTGGTGCTGAGAAAAGAGATATAAGCAGGCTCTGAGGTGATGTCTGCAGTTGTGAGGCAGACCCAAGGGGGTCTATTTACTAGTCAATTAATAACTGTTTTAGCTTTTTTTTGTTTTGGACTGTAATTTCTACCTCTGCATGGGAACCTCCTTGTTCTGCTGCACACGTTGACCAATGAACACAGGCAGAAATCCTTTAAACCTACATGCAGCTTGAATTACCTGTCTATGAGCTCTCAATTGAAGCTGAACCCTACAAAATGGTATGCTAATTTTATTTATATAGTAGGTAGTGATTTGTTTTGATTAGGGGGGGTATTTACTTTTGTTACCAATTGTATTTAAATTGAAAATTAAGGAATTTACAATATGTAGTAATGCATAATTAAAGGTGGAGTGGTGTTTGGGGGGGAGGTAGTACTTTTCCTTCATCTATGCTTGTTTTGGGAAGGTGGTGATTTTTGCATACTGTACATGTATGGTGTAAGTTAGTGTCTATGACCCCTGTCAACATCCCCTTCTGACAAAACATATAGTGCAAGGCATTGGACCCTGTGGCATTCTCTGTTTTTGGCATTAACTTTATGCATTTTAACCACTTCCCGACTGGCCGTTGCACATGGCAGTGCAGGGTCGGGTGGCCGTTTATAAACGGCCTCCCCGCACCCTGCTTGTGCTCGCGCTCCCTGGGAGTGCGCAGCACCGCGGACACAGTGAAACACCGATCGTCGGACGGGACCCGATCATGTGATCACTGATTGGCCAATCAGTGATCACATGCAAAGTAGTAAGGAAGATGTCACTTGTGACATCATTGCTTACTACGTGTGAAATCTGTGAATGATCACAGAGGTCACATGGTACAAGGCTATTCACAACAGCCTTATACCATGTGACAAGCTGTGACCAATCACAGCTCACTCAGTACTTCTCAATGAGTGCAAGAATGCAGACAGAGAAAGACAAATGATTGCTTTTACATCCTATATGGGTGTGAAAGCAATCAGTGTAAAAAAAAAAAAAAAAATCATCACCCCCCCACAAGTAGTACAGTGTCACCATGGTGGCACTGTACTGCTAGGGTGACAGTATGTAAAAAAAAAATAAAAAAATAAAAAATATAAAAAAATAAAAATGTAAAACAAAATGTTTAAAAATTATATTTTTTGGTTATAAACTAATTTGGATTTTTTTTTTTACTAAAAAAGATAACGGAATACATTTTGGCAAAGATTTATGATGAAATATTATTTATTTGCAAAATTTTATAAAAAAAAAAAACACTTTTTAAAAAAATTTTTTGGACATTTTCATTTACATAGCAAAAAAAAATTAAAATCCAAGCGGTGAATAAATACCACCAAAATAAAGCTTTTTCTGTCTCAAAAAAAGGTAAAAAATTCATTTGGATACAGTGTTGCATGACCGCGCAATTGTCATTCAAAGTGTGATAGCGCTGAAAGCTGAAAATTGCCCTGGTCAGGAAGGGGGTAAATGTGTCCAGTCTGGAAGTGGTTAACAACCTCAAGAGTTGGTTCTGGCCAACTGCACAAACATGTATTCTTCAAAGTAAATTTTCAAACAGGGTAACATAGCATAGCATAGACTCTACACCAACAGAGAATCAAGCTGAGAATCACTACTTCAGTAAAAACAGAATACAATTACTTGCAATTATACTTAGACAGCATCCCTCAGAGGGTAGCTCTGATAACACAGATGAACAGTTGGATTTAAGGCCAAAGGAAAAAAATGGAACTAAAGGCAACATCCAGATAGCAATTGGAAAGGGCTCCCCACAGAGTCTGGGTCTTTTGAAGAAGCTGTATGCTTTTACATACCTTCCCAGTTGCTCATACACCAGTTCTGATAGTAGAGGGCTTCTCACCTGGCTGCAGGTTACTTTCCCAGCTCATCAGTCTAATCAGGTGTGGCTTCTCTAAACCTGTGGGGTTGGGAAGTTGAGGATCTTGTCTTCCCCAGGCTTTCCAGCTGAAAGGGCTTGCACTTGCATCTCAGCATAATGAGTAAATGGGCACTGCTCTACAAAATAAGATGCTAATAGACAATCCCCTACCTGCAGAGAGTTTCAGCAATCCCTATTACTCCTTGATAAAAACAAACAAAGCTTTTCCTTCACTAGACTGAAGTCTACCTGCATCTAAGTATGAGTTCAATGTTCGGTCCAAGTATGAAGTATTGTGTTTCTCATACTCATTCATGTAGTAGGGAGATATCTGGGGTCCCCTTACTATTAAAGGGGGCTTCTGGATTCAAATAGGCTCCCACCAGCAAACGTCTACAACCTCTGGCTAGGGTTGTGGAGAACAAGCTATTGTCCTCAATAACATAGCTGGGGGGGGGCATTTTTTTTCTCTTTTTTTGCATGAAGATCCCTCTTAAAATCCATATCATATTAATTTTTTTTTATTATTACTGTGGGAAAGAAAAAAATGCACGTAGGTCGCTCCAATGGTCCCCAAAATACATAAATACATAGCAGACCCTTTTGGGAGGGGTCAATGTGCTTCACAGGCAGGACTATGGCACCCCAGGCATGTTATTTAAAGGAATTAAGCATTTTTAAGGTTTCTTCTTAATCATTAAAAAAAAAATCACTGCTGTTGGCTGAATGGGAAAAATATATTGCATTGGTACATTTTCCCTAGGGCAGTGCCCACCCTTCATTGCTATCTTTTGACACCCCCTTACCTATTAGCCTAGAGAATGGAAATTTTTATTTTGACAGAGTTGGTTCCTGTGACGGACCTCCTTGAACCCCAACTGGTGCCTCCACCAGAGAGCTGCTTTCTCACAGATGGAACACAGGAACAAGGTATTATAGGTGGGAATTGCACCCAACAACTAGAGGATACCAGCTTAGGTGCAAACAGGAACTGCTTTATTGAAAATTCACACAGAATTTATACCACTCAAAATCAGATAAGAGCTGATGATCACGTGATCCTAAACAATGAAAGCGTTGAACAGTAATATCATCTGTATATCTAACAGTGCATCTAATGAGCAGCTAACAGTAACCTAATTAACAGTAAGCTAATCAACAGCTGGGCACCCATGCCAGCTTTGAATAGTCAGGGTGCCCACCCCAGACAGTCCAGCAACAAGTCCACAGCCCTCAATAAACAAAGTACATTACACATGCTTATCTGTATAGACTTCTTGACGGATATTGTTGATAAATGTTTCTGTCCCAAATGGAGGAACTTTTCCAACCCAGTCTGCAGGAAGGGCCGCCATATTTCCTCTGTCCATTAACCGTACCAGATTAATATTAAACTATTTCATCCATTCCAGAAGGGAAGCTATAATGTCTTCAGTGAATTAATCCAAGCCTCGCTCTCAGCGTTCATCACATTGTTGTCCATCACTATAGAATGATCTACTCTCTCCATGGGATCTGAGGCTGAACTGAGCTCTTTTCCATGCTCTGCACGGGAAGTTCAGTAGAAGTCTAAAAAGTGATAAAAGCCTTGGCCTCCTCCATGAGCCACAATCAGTGGGTAGAAGGCTAGTCCCTAGTCCCCTTCAAAAACTCCTGTCCCCTTTGGGTCCATCAAATACCCTCATAGGTAGGCTAGCCAGGTCCCAGACCTCCTCCTGGTCTGGATATGAGTTAGTTGGACAGAGTGAACCCACATAGTAGGTCCACACAATCTCCATTCTTGGCCGTAGGGAAGATATGTTGTCAGTAGGTGTGGTGCAGAGATCGTGAACCCTTATCCGGCTGTCAGTGCTTCAGCTGAGAGGTCTTTACTGTTTCAGGGCTCAGTCTGCTGCTGGCGAGAGGGGTCACTGCCCCAACTCCCTGGAGCCATGAAGACATGGTAGGTGCTAGTCAGAGGCCAGCGGCGCTTTGCCCTGTTGCCAGCACTTCATGTCAGGAATGGACTTGCCAATGGTGGTGGGACTCACCTGCCTTGTGGGCTGCAGTACCAGGGCTAGCCAGCGGGTGCTCTCAGCAACCAGAGGCTCGCTCCTGCAGTCAGCCATCACCTGAGGCTGATTGCAGGAGGTGTATTTAAGGAATGGCCAGACCTGCAGTCAGTGCCTTGGTGTATGTTTCCCATGAGCCCCTGTACCTGCATCCTGTCTGCTTCCTGCCTGATTCCTGATTCTTCTTGATCCTGACCCTGCATGAACTCTGCCTGTCCTGACCTCGGCTATTCCTGACCACTCTCCAGCCTGCTCCTTTGGTAACTTGTCTGCCTGATTGTTCCTGACAAGGCCTGTCTGACTACGCTCTGCCTACTCCTTTTGTGTCTTGTCTGCCCGATGATTCCTGACCCAGCCCACCTGACCACTCCACCTCGCCAGCCCTGACTGCTCTTATCTGTGTACATTCCGTTATCAGTTGGAGGTTTGGTTTTGGTCTATTGTGCTTTATGTTTGTGTATAACCCTTAATAAATTATATTGTTACACCATACTTGAGCCTGCGTTTCCCTGTGTCAGTTCATGCATCTCTGGTCTTACTGGGAGCCCTGACACTTCAGCTATGGACCCCCACATTCTCCACTCTGGCTGACTGTTGGAAAGGAAGAATGGCTTCCTCCACTACCACACTGAAGGTCTGACTCTGAGGAGTGAGGGCAACCACCTCCTCTCCTGGACTGTGGATCTGCCGCTGGGGAAGGAGGATGACCACTTCCTCTCCTGGATCTGCTGCTGGAGAGTGAGGATGGCTTCTTCCCCTCCCTGGTCCTTGAACTGCTGCTGGGAAGATGAAACAGTTGCTGCATCTCCCATACCCTCAAACAGCTGCTGGGATGACATTTCTTTGGTACTGTCTTTGAGGTGCATGGATCCTTGCTGGTGAGGGAAGACTGTTCTGGTGGGACTGTTCCTCCTCACTCGAGTCATCGTACTGCCGCTGGGAAGATGAGCTGGTTGCTCCTTCTTCTGGACTCCTGCTGTGAGAGAGGATGACTTCCTTCGCTCCCGAGTCCCTACACTGCCACCTCCATGGGCCATAATTAGTGGGTAGAAGTCTAGCCCCTAGTCCCCTCCAAGAGCCCCTCTCCTGGTTGGGTCTGTCACAGCTCCCACTGATTTCTTTAAAGATCAAGAGACCTTCTCAAACTAAACCCAGAGCAGTTTGGCTCATCCCTACCTGCAACCTGATAGCAAGAAGACAGGGGCAATGCCTGGTCCAATATGTTTTATAGATATGAGATAGATGCTTGGTCCAGATGGAGGTAACACATGGATCCCCATGATATCACTGACCAAATATGCTCAGGTCCATATTGTCAAAGATGTCAGCCAGGAGATTCACCCCTCTTTATATCAGCAGTCATCCTCTAGAACTGCCAGTAGTGGGCAAGCAGTCATCAGGAAAAGATGTGTGCTGATGATCAGGGGGTATTTTTTTTTTTTTGTTGTTAAATGGGCATCATGACTGAAGTGGATTTACATTGATGGACGCCATGAATGATGATGATGAATGTACATCATGGGACTTTTGGGGATTTTTTAAAATTAAATAAAATTATTGTCAAACTGTGTGTGTTTATCTATGCTTTACATTTTTTTGCGAGTATAGGTACTTATTGTTAAAGGGGACCTCCGTATTCCAGTAAGTCCCCCCCTCACAGATACCCACAACCTCTGGGCCAGGGTTGCCAGGAAGAGACCCTTGTCCTCACCTACATGGAAACAAAATGCTTTGTCAGGGGGTGTCCCATCTGGCAAGATACCCCTCTGTATTGAGGAGATGTGGCCTGGTATGGTTTGGGGTGGGCGAGGTCATGCTCGGATAAAAGTCTGGGGTGAATTTTGAGGGAACTTCATTTTGGCATGAGGTCCTCCTTAAAATTCATAAAAGACCTGAAAAGCCTGGTGTGAAATATTGGAGAACTCCCATGACACTTTTTTTCTCTTATGAGGAATTTTTCATTAACATCTA